CAACAGCCCTAAACTCCGCTCTGTCCTGTGCCAATCACACTGTCTCTGACACTCCCATCCCAATTATCCCAGTCACTGAATCAATCCACCTCATAATTGGAGGATTTTAAAAGTTAACTTTTCAGTTATCAGCTCAACATTTAATTTACTACTAATGAATTTTTAGGGCAAGTAAAGGGTCTTTCATTTAATGTTTTAGTCTAAAGCAAAAAGCACAGGTTTCAGACCCAGATTGTCCTAAGTTAGTATGGCATCTAACACAATAAACCCATTAATTTTTAAGAAACTTTGGATGGTACTTGACTTAGCTAAGTCTGTTTTTCTCATCTAAGAAGTGTGAGCAATGATTCCCTTTCAGAACTGCTTAAAATATTAAAAAATAACATGAATGTGTTCAAGACACAGAAAGCACTCAATAAATAGTAGTCATTTAAACAGTAACTGGAGTCAGAATAAAATGGTCTGTTCCCAAAAGCCCCAGAAAAATTAACCACTGATTGAAGGGCACTCTGTCTCCACTGCTCTTTAGCTTGTGAAAGCCCTTGTCACATCCTGAGCACAAAAAACAATTGGATCATAGTCAAGATCATCAAAGGCAGCTGAAGATGGAGGCAGCTTTACGGGGCATCGCGTGCTTCAGGCGCTCAGTGCTTCCTCCCACCCTGCAGGACGCAAAGCAAAAGATGGTGCTTTCTAAAGAACAAAGAAGTAGTACCCCACAGACTGGACAAACCATGGCATCACACAACCCTCTCTTAGCGTGCAAGAAAAAATGAGGCACGCAATGCTTTTCATTGAGAATTTCAAGAGCCATCCTTAGATTCTCTGAATTAACCATCTTTGAGTCTTTCATTCAATAGTGCCTTATTACCATATTTCTAAAATTTCTGGAGAAAAAGTGAAATGAACAGATGGCTAAAAATATGGGGAAAGTGGAGCGTTGTACAATTTGTATTCCTTTGCGCCTGCAAAAGAGTTCAAACTGGACTTTGATAGGTACTTACCCCTTTGTTGAAGGTGGCAAAAAATTTGATGTAAGGCTGGAAATGTTCAGCTGCCTCTTCAAAAGCCTTGAAATCTACCAAGGAATAGAGAAAAGGGAAAATGTTTTGTTCAAGATGCACAGTGTAGAAATAAATTAGGATTTTATTTTCTTCTATACTTTGTTGTTTTTATTTTACATTGATTTGCATACAAAGTTCGTATGCATTGTGCTTCACACTATCCTTCATTCACATTAAGATTCATCCAATCATTCTCATTATGTTTTATAAAATCAACCACCACTGGAATATTTGCACCATTACCCTGTCTTGCCAGATCCCCACCAGATCGTTCCCATTGCCTTTATCCCTTTAACTCACCCACCAAATTGTACAACCTTATGACTTCCCGCCACCCACTCTCACACCTCTGTTCCCACCTCTTCTCCCTTAGATATTCATACTCGTTTTACTAGTTATCCTTCTGTAATAAATTTAATTTTTTAAAGTGGTATGGAGTACACACACAAAACACAAAGTACATGGATGAAACAAGATGTATATGAAATACCTGGGTGACTCAGGAGATGGGTAAGACAAGGACCCTTTACAAAGGTTGATAGCTTAGAGTGGGGTTTGGGGCTCTTAAATAATCACATTGTTATGCAGTAGTTAAGGGAGCTCTGGTGGCCTAATAGCAAGAAGCTGTGCTGCAGTCTCTAAGACAAGTGGTTCAAAGCCACAAGCCACTCTTTGGGAGAAGGATGTGCAGTCTCCTCCCATGCAATTAACAGCCTCTGAAAATCCACCAGAGGGTCAACTATGGGTTGGTTCAGACTCTATATTTGTTATTGTTGTTGTTGTTGGGTGTCGAGTACGACTCATAGTGACTCTATGAACAAAAGATCTGAACCTAGTACTGTCCTTGCCATCCTCACACTTCCTGACACACAAGAGCCCATTGCAGCAGTCACCTTGTCAGTCCTCCTGGTTAAGGGTCTTCCTCTCTTCGCTGAACCTTCACCTTTCCCAGCATCATATCCTTTTCCAAGGAATAGCACCTCCTAGCAATATGTCCAAAGTATGTGAGGAAAAGTTTCATCATTTTTGCCTCCAAAGAGCACCCCGGCTGCACTCTCTCCAAGACATATCTGTTTGTTCTCTTGGCTGTCCATGGGATGCTCAGTGCTCTTCTCCAACACCACAGCTCAAAGGCATCAATTCTTTTTCTGTCATACTTATACATTGTCCAGGTCTCAGATACATAGCGAGTAGTTGGAAAGACTATAGCCTGAATCAGACACACCTTAGTCCTCAAATTGACATCACTACTCCTCAATAATTTGGAAAGCTCCGTGACTGCAGATTTTCTGACTCTATGGAAGCAGGTCATCTGACTCAAAATGCCATATGATATATTACTCTAGAAATGAAAAGACAAAGAAAAATGGG